AAGGCTCACCAAGCCATTTATCTCTCTGCCCTTCAATTAATCCCACTTGTGTTTATCAGCCAGGCTGGCACAATAAACTATCTCAGGTTCTAATGCAAAACCCCATTGCAGTGCAATATTAATATCTACAAACAATACTGACTTCTCAGAGATTCACCTTGGTGTTTATTTGTTGTATTTATTTTTTGAAATTTTACGAAAATATGAATTACCTTGTTCCTCTTTCTCTTTTGTTTTGCCAATTTCATAATTATTATTACATATATATGGGAAATGGCCAGTAATATGCGTTTTTCAAGTGGATTTAGTTTGGGTTCAGTTTGATTTAGTCTAATCGGGCAACTTTTTTTTTAATTGCTATATAGAAAATACCTTAACACAAACAAACATGTTACAAGACATGAGGGCATGGAGCTTACTGCCCAGCAGCTAAAGGATTAGATGCCCAGGTTTCTCCTCTGCCAGCAATTTTTATCCAGAAATTGGGATTGGGAACACGTGGGCTTGGCTCTTATTTCTTAAGGACCCATTACCCACTTCTCAGCCCAAGTCTTTGAAGAACCAATCTATCCCTGAGGCCTTTTGGCCAGGGAAGGCCAGAGCCTCTTGGATCCTTTCAGACTTCTTTGCAATCCTGTGGGATGCAGGGAATTCATTTCTTTCCTAGACTAAGCGGGCTCTCTTTCTCCATTCCTCTGCCTCCCCAATCTCCCTGTCTTTCCTCCCTCCTAAGGCCCATTTGCCCCTCCTCTCCTCCTCCATCCCTCTCTCCTCTCTGCTCCGGTTTATTTTCCCTCCCTAACCCAGGAGCTTGGCTCTCCCTCCTCCTGCTCCCCCAGAGCCTGTCTGTATTTGGAACTCCCGGAAGCTGCTGGCGACTCTCCCCTGGAACAGAGGGACTGACACCGACTTCTATTAAAAAGGGGAGGAGGAGGAGAAGGAGGGCACGAGGAGGGGGAGGGACACGGAAGGAGGGTGCGAGTGGCCGAATACGGCTTTTCATTGCCAAAAACAAGACCCCAGGTCACCGAGGCAGGTAATCTGAGAGTTGTTTGTGCTAGGTGCGGGTGGAGAGGG